TCATGATTTCTCTTGTTAGTCATACAAATGCACTAAGATGTCCTTAGAGAATCAATTGTGATATGGTTTCATAATCACTAAGATAATCATAAAACAAGATACTAAAGTACTCTCCCGTCTTTTCAGATTGGAGAAACTTTTATCTTTCTGCCTAATTTGATTCTTCTCATCCGTTCTGCCTTACATTGAAATTTTTCCAATGTTTTAGAGTTACACTTAAACTTGTAAGCATAACCATATTTACTAAACTTTAGTAAATCATGACGAATAGCCTTATCGATCTTTGTGGTGGACCTGACCAGCGCACAACCAAGTGTACCCAATCTCCTAGTCCTTCACTTGACTCACATATACATGTGAACAAGGAATTAGTATTAATTTCCCAAAGATGAAAATCCTCATTCATCATACAATACCAGTTGCATGATTCCAAGTTTCTATCCAACTGAAACTTGGGTGATGAGAATCTTTCCTTATTTGGTAAATTATGACACTACCACAAATGAAAGAATCAAATCTATTATCCGATATGATATCAATAGAAACATATAAACAACAATTTTCACAAATGCCATTGTAAGGAAACTTAAAATAAGATAAAAATAAAAAAACTTTTCTTTATTCATAAAATGTAACATCCGGATTCCCGGGTATATTATTTTACTTATTTATTTGAGAGGTTTGTTGAGCGACTCGACGAGTTGGTGCCTCAACTCGTCAAGTAGAGTCGCGATTGGTGACGTGGATTAATGAGCTGACTCGACTAGTCTGTAAGCCAACTCGCCAAGTCAGCACTGCTAAAGGAAACCCTAAATTCTCGGGCTTGTGTCCTACTTAAGGACACTTATAGCCTATATTTCGTCTCACCAATACCCTTGCACCCTTGAGAGAATCCCTAACGTCCATAGTGAGCTTGAGTGGTGAGGATAGCTAATCTTGTGATTATTTTGGCTCATTTCCTTGAAGAGGAAGGAAGGTTCATCAAACAACAAGAAGAGAGGGCCAGTAGATCAGCTTCTTCTTCATCTCAAGCTTCAGATCAAGGTAAAAAGCTTTTACCTTTCTTGTAGGATGGTTAGATCTCATGCTCTTGAGATTTAGGGCTTGTAACACTTTCTTGATGGGGCTATGGATGCATTAATCCACTTTTTGAGTCTAGACTTTAGATCTGGACCTTGTGAGGTCCAGAGAGTCCAAAAGTTCAGAGCAATAGTGACCAACTAAAGACTTTTGCATTTTGGGAGCATTAATGGAGTGGTGATGGCATATAGAGCAATATATGCCATGCATGGCCATCAAGATCAAAACTTTACGTGACTTTTGGACATTAGGAGGCTAGATCTAGAGGTTGGAATTGCGGATCTGCTCTCAGGTGCCCAAATATGGAACTCGATTGGGTAAACTCGCCGAGTCTATGAGATGACTCGACGAGTCGGATCGGGTTTGTCCCAACGTTCTTGACCCAGTGATAACTCGTCGAGTTGGGGGATATCTCAACGAGTTGAGTGAAACCTTAGCAAGACCTCTGAGGATACAAGTGGACTCGGCGAGTCACATAAGTGCACTCGGCGAGTCAGGTCAACCTTGACTGTTGACTCGTATCGACTTCTGTTGACTTTGAGGATGGGTCAATTATGAGCATTTGAGACCACGAAGGGTTAAAATAGTCTTTTACCCGTCCCAAGGGTTAGAAAGAGAATAAGAGAACTTGTGGTGTACTTAAGTAAGAGTGGGGTATTGATTAGAGATGCTTATCTAATGTGTTAGGCGGAGGCTAGTTCGAGATTTCCGAGTACGTGTCTATTACTTGCTAGCTACGAGGTGAGTCTTCCCACTGTACTTTACCTAGAGTGGTATTTATGTGCGACCGGAAGGTCTTATGTGCTTACTTGAGTTGTGCATTTGTCTGTGTGATATATGCTATATTATGTGTTACTGAGACCGGACCGGAGGGTCCAACGAGCCGTGGGACTGGAGGGTCCCAACCAGACCGGATCAGAGGGTCCAACGAGCCGTGGGACTAGAGGGTCCCACTAAGACACATAGACCGGAGGGTCTTACAGTGTTATAGCATCGAGTGGATAATGTGATGTATGTGGTATTTTGGGGAACTCACTAACCTTCGTGTTTACCGTGTTATGTGTTACAGGAACTTACGAGGATCGCAGGAAGGAACTGGCTTGATTGTACACATACACACTACTAGAAAAACTGCATTTTGCGACGTGCAAATGCGTGTCAAGGAAGGCCCAGTCATAATGAGAGACGACACGATTTTATGTGTCGTCTATTTACGACGCGCATTTACGACGCGCAGTTACGACACACATTTACGACGCTCATTTACGACATGCAATGTGTATCAAGGAAGGTCATGTCATAAAATAAGACGACACGCATTTGCGTGTCGTAACCTTACGACGTGTGTTTAGGACACGCATTGCGTATCATTAAAGCCCATGTCATAAATGAAGATGACACACATTTGCGTGTCATAAAATTCAGCAACCATTTACGATATGCATATACAACGTGCCTTTACGATACTCATTTACGCATATTACAAAAATATATAAACAAATATATACCAAAACAATCAATTTAATCCAATAACATCATGTCAAAAAATATTGTAATACATTGATATTAAGGGGATCTGATTGTACATTGTTATTAAGAGATTTTCCCTAACTATATAACTTAATACTATATTGCTATTAAGGGACACCTTCTTTTTTCAGATATCATGTCCACATCATAAGCTTTATTGCTCTTTTCTTTTTTAACAATAGGCGCCACATGCAATAGTTAATGTATCTCTATCTCCTCCTTCCTTTGTAGCTTGGTGAAGAGCATCATCTCCAGCCTACAGAGTAAGGAAACAAAAATAATGTAAGAGAGAAACATGTAGTCTAAATGATTCAAATAAGAACAAACATCTTTTCAACAAATTGTGTATGATAAGCACAAATGGGCCTCTTCTTAACAAACTGTAGTGATGATTTAGACTGAATCATATGACAGGAAAAAATGATAATGTCAATGCTTCAACATACCATGTTCATACGAAAATAATCCATCATTCAGTCATGTGTTGGTATGTACATTATACAAAACAAACCTTTGATGACTCAACATTTTTCTCAAGCTTTAAAGTATCTTTCCCACCACAATAACCCTCTTGAAAGATGCTCAATCCATGTGACAAGCTGCAAAAAAAAATAGAAAAAAAGTAAAGCTTCTTCATAGTTTATTTTCTAGTAGCAATAATAATATTTATAATTTACCTGGTAGATGATATAACAAGCTTTCCATTTATGTATTCTGGATCTTTATGAAGCATCAAATGATGAGAAATTGCAGAAATCATAATTTCTTGAATATAATTATTGATAAACATTGTGTCTACGTGACAAATTAAACCTAAATCATCACATTCAAGATCATTTGCTGCAACCAGGCTTGTTTCGTGCTCTGCATGACATCTTTATACACCTGAAAGATGAAAGCAAAAAGATTAGAATTAGCCATAACAGTATAACACCATTTTTGATGTTGACATAATTTCAAGCAATGTTGTACTATACTCTAATATGCATAAAAGATTAATAACTTATATGAATAATAGATATAGTATGGCTAACTTCCCAAATCAACAAAAAAACTATTGTACTAATACTCTAATATGCATAAATTCAAAAAATATATTTACAGATTTTCTTCTACTTAACCAATATGATAAATAAGTTTTTTTTAAAAGCAGTGAAAATAAATTACCGTTTATTTAAGTAACTTGTACTCTAATAGGAGAATGCAACAGTGGATTGAACTAATACATAAGTAACTTGTACTCTAACATTTGACCCTATAGAAGACTCAAAAAACATGAAGGGAAAAATGGTAATTGACACATATTGGTTACCTGTTTCCGAGGTTTTGCCATTGTATCTGAGGTAAACAAATTACCATTTATTTAATTACGATAATAAACTAAAATTGTACGATATCACAATTAAAAAAATGACATGATAATTAATCATAATAATTGGAAAAAAAGTGAAAATTATAAAACTGAATCCAGATATTCATTACAATAAATTAGCAAAAATATAAAATAAAAACAGAGATATATCTCTATTATGGGGGAAACTGGAAAGGAAAACGTGAATTGCTTTATGGAATCATCATTTTCCTAACTTAACCCACTAGGACATTTTGTTAACATCAAGTAAAAAAGAATCTGTTAAACCATTAATTTTTTTTATAAACATCATATATCCAAACAACAGTTAATAGAAAAAAGAAAATCAGGGATTAGGTACCTCGTGATCACTATCATATCATCACTAGGAAATCTGAGCAATGTACACATTCTATATCTCAATGTGAAAAATTTATCTGGTTCCATTCCTGTTGAATTTGGGAAGTTGAAGTCTCTTACTAGGAAAGTGTTGGTTTTATTATGGATTTGATTTGTGGATTTATCAGCATCTGATATGGAGTTGGAATATTTTGGGACAGGAGTCTCCTTCACAAAAGCACATGAGAAAAGCTGTAGAGTTGGCAAAACAACAAAAAGAAGAAAATTGGTTTCCATTTAGAAGATAGTGAGTGTGTATAAACCGACTTTACAGATTTTCTTCTACTTAACCAATATGATAAATAATTTAAAAAAAAAACACCATGGCCATATTAGCAAATCATTACACTACATAGAAAACACACATTGCTATCAAACTTAAAAACAATCATATGTATAATGCAACGAAAATAAGGATTTGAGATGTTTATCAATTCTATTTGAATTATAGATGTATTATGATAAAACCAAGTCACAAAGGTCCTATTCATCTTATACCAATTACATAGGTAGGGTACAAGATCTAACAAACTTTAGCTCAGTAAATGATGGATTTAATTGCAAAAGTCGACCTGTCTTTCTCGATCCTCGTACCTCTGTAACAATGTGTCACAATTAATATGAACTTTCTATAAATGTGTCATAAATTTGAGTATAAATGCCCAAAAGTAGATTGGGGAATACTAAACCAACCAAGAGTCAGTCTACCAAAATCCATTAACTCAAAAAACTCACGGCGACACAAATAGTAAGCCCTTGTGCTTAGTTGAAATCCAAACAAATCTCCTCCAAGAACTTCTATCCATTCCATGTTTTCCAAGGTTTCCTCTGCAACTTTATCATCAGTACTATAAACAAGGCTCACACCACATTCATGTACCTCCAATCCACAGATCACAGCAATAGAGATGTTGACTTTATCTCCCGTGTCCAATGCATTTCCAATTGGCCAATTGCTTAACCATATACCAACTTCACCAGATTCAGGTTTACCAAATACTTTAGGGTTATACATCAAATCAACACCATTGGTCGTACTAATGTTACCGAACCATAACCCATCATTCTCACCTGATATTGTATACTTGAAAGTTACATCAAGTCCTTTGAGTCTCCTATTCTTGGGAGGTGGAGGCACATCAAAGGACAAAGATGATAACTCTGATACATATGTAGGCTTGATGTTTGAATCCTCCATGTATGGAAGAGATGTGCTCATTATATTGAATTCATACAACAGCTGGCCATGTAAAAGCACAAGAGTTTAGTCCCATATAATCAGTTTGTAGGTGTTATGCTGATGTGTGTGTGGTGTGCTCATGCATGAATTTAATAGAGTCACAATGTACCTGGACACACGTACTTCTGCATTGAGCATAAACTCAAGTCAAGGACCCGAAGATTTTTAAGATGGTCCTAATAAGGCAGAAACTCAAAGAGACTATTGCCTAAATTCATATACTGCAGAGATAGTTGAACAGAAAAACTCAGAGGAAAAGACTCAGTACACTCAAGATCGCAATCCTTGAGGAATAACCGGTATAATGAACGTGGGAAGAAAAAGGTAGGTTGTTGTAAAACTCCTCCACCAGAGGTAGAAGCTTCTGTTTGCTCGATCTTGCACAGGTTTTTACATCCTGTCATGTTCAGTAGTGCAAGACTCGTGAGGTCTCTAATTGTTTCACAAACACGAGAGAGACTGTCACAGTTCCATAGAATTAAAGTCTCTAGATGATGGATCATGGACATGTTGTGTATTTCGGATAGATTGTGCGAGTCTGTAAGATTCAGAATCTGCAGCGATGGAAGAACTTGTTACAAAAGTAATTACAAGATTAATTAATGTAGCACTCCATGTATGCATGATGACCACTAAGAATTGAGAAGCTAAACATAAAGAGTTTATCGGATTCCCTACCGTGGGTGGTTCAAATACTTCCAATTTGCTATAGCTCATATCTATAGCCACCAAGTTCCCCATGAATAAGTCATAGGGTATGGTTCTTAAATTGGATCCAAGCCAGCAGAGCCATCTTAAGTCTTCTGAAAAGTTCTCGTAGGACCCAGTGAGTTGCACAAAGTTTAGTTGGAGCAATTTTACTTTATCCATCTTTTGAAGTGCATCTGTCATCAGGTTTGATAACTGCAGATTTAGAATGAAGAGGGATAGTAAACTTATTATTAGATCCAGGTATAAGTATGCGTGAAAAATATGCATATGTATACACACACGTCAGGTCTTAGTGATTTTGTATTACCTTGAAAGCAAACTTCTGTTCCTCTAGCATTTGCATGTCAAGTGCTAAACCTTCTATAGTTTCTGAACCCTAATTAAATTAAAAGGAAAAAAAAAAAGGATAAATTTTATGAAGTAAATGAAATAGAAGAATGTGAAAGTAATTGTAGGATTAATTAAACGTACATATAAAAAGCATCTTACCTCTCATTTACTCAATATCTTATAAGAGTCGCTACTCAGCCAGACTCTACTACGTTTTGCAGGGAATTTTGATTCTTGACGAACTATGTTTTTCCCCATCTCCTAATACCACTTGTGCCCTAATTTCTTCGGATGCTTTTTTTGCTGCGCGAAACTAACATAAAATTTGTCAATTAAGAGCATGAAAAGTTTGAAGATGGTTCTTGTAATGATCTATTGTCTAAACCGTATACCTCGTCACCAAAAGGGCGATTGATGTTGAGGAAATCTTGGAAGAGAATGTGGCTAACAGTAGACGTAGTGCTAGAGCTGTTTCACCACCTGTTAGGCCGGAAAACATGGTGAATTTGGTTTTCAGCGTAGAAACAAATGTAATCGGATGTATATGGAGATGGAGATGGTTACCTAAGTTGATGTTGTGACTAATGGTGCCAAGGAACCCTAAACCGGATAAGGAAAACGGATTGGACTTTAGCCGTGGCTCGATCTGAGTGGGGACAGAGGGAGTGGTGATGAGAAGAGAGGGTTGGAGAACGCCATTGTTGATAGAAGTAGAACCTCTCCTTTGGGACTTGGGTGTGGCTGCTTTGGACTTTTACCATTATTAAGGTTAAAATTCACCTTAATAAGATATGGCTTGTAAATTTGAGCAAGAGAAGAAGTAAGCCTAAGGTCGTCAGACCTGATGTTGCCGTCAAGGGGAGGCGAGGTATCGTGATTAGGGTTTGTAGAGAGAAAGGAAGAAGAGAATGAAGCCGTGTATTTAAAAATTTTAGAATTTTAGGAGGATTTTCATTTCCCCCTTTTGAGATCGCGCGTTTTGAAAAAATTATAACGCGACATTCACAGAGGACGCACATTAAAAAAAAAAAGCGCTCCCGTGTTTGTAATTTTTTTTATGGGACAATAATTTAAAGGCCCGCATAAATGCATGTCCTCTATCCTTCAAAATTTAGAAGGCTGATATTAATTTATAGGCCACGCACAAATGCGCGTCCTCTATCAATGTGTGTCATTATTTGCACGTCCTAAAAGGCTGTTTTTTCTAGTAGTGACACTTGAGCTGGAGTTATATTTTTATGGGTCCTGGATTTGTGATAAACACTTTTTAAAAAATGTACCGATATTTGATACTTGAGGTTTTGGTGAAATGTGATATGTGTTTTATTGTGTTTGGAAAATGGAAATTTTGGTTTAAAATTTTACGTCGTTACATAAAACATTTGCGGAAAATATTTTCCTTACAATGTAATTACAAGTGAAAAACATGGTGTTATCTGTTCCTAAGCAATCTTATCACAACTCTTAAGCAGCAACTCAAAATTCTGATCTTCGAACCATGCGATCGAAATCCATCTTCGCGATTAGAATCAACTTACTCTTTCTTTAAGCTTCCTTTCTTTTCTTCAATTCTACAAAACATCAAAATGTGACCTAGTCACATCATGTATTAAGAATCTCCAAATAGGAACATAATTGAGTTAGATAATGGACTTTACCCGAAGTAGAGTCAAACTTTTTGACTTTACTATCCTTATAAACTTTCAGGTAAACTTGGCAGCTTCGCAACCAATGCCCCTTCTTTTGGCAATAGAAACATATGGACTCTTTAGGAATGGTAGATTGGACTATCTCAGACTTAGCCTTTCTATTTACCATTAGATCAACCGGGTTGACTATGGCCGATCCATTTCCATTGGGAAGAGAAGACTTTTCTGAACCTCCAATGTTTCATTGTCAATGTCCAAGTAAGTTTGGGAAGTAGATCTTCCAATCAAATTTGTTTTACCAGTGCTCCAAATCATTGCTGATTCAGCAGCATCAAGCAAATTGGTAAGATCATAAAGGGTCATGTCATGGTCTATCACATAGTAGTCCTTAAAGAACCCACTATGTGACTTAGGAAGTGATTGAAGAACCCAGTCAACAGCCAACTTCCTTGAGACATTGACACCCAACTCTCCCGGCTTGTCAATATGTGACTTCATCTCCAAGATGTGAGCACACACAGACTTTGCTTGCCAATAGGGCTTTGAGTGACCTTGAACTTTTCAGGTCTTTGAACTTGTGGGATAGGGAGAATAATTGGAGGAGGTAGAGGAAGTATGATTTTCAATCCCATTAATGCACAACAAAGGGATTAATCTTTCACCTTGATCGCCATGTGCGATATCATCTTCTTTAGTAAAGCTTTATCCAAAAGGACAAGGAAGACCATAGTTGTCATAACTAGACATCTATGAGGGAGAAATTAAAGTTTAGTTGATTTAAGTCCTTAATATTACACCCAATATGAAATATTAAGGCTAGGACCCAACACAATATTTTATAACTTGGAAGAGGGATTTCATAATCCAAGCTACAAAATACTTGAAGGTAAGTAAATGACGATTTACCAATTTCCACCACGATAAAACGAAAATAATTTTAGGTTTTAAGTGAAGTGAAACTCCTAGATCCTTTGAGATTAATTGAACAATTCAATGGCATGTTTAAATCTCGATTGTGCCCTTCAAGTTTGTGACTGGGATGCCGAGGATCACAAACAAGGAGTGAATAACCATGCAAATTAGCTTGGTACACCCAATGTTACAACCACCTAATCAATATGTCGGTTAACCACACACACTCCATTGATCTATGATTAACATCAAGCTACCCTTTGCCAAGCATTGTCAGTCCCAAATTAGTGTGTCGGTTAATCACACACGCTCCACTAACGACTTAACAAGGTGCAAAGTGCAATTTCAAAGGTCAGCACCATATTCACATTTTCCTAAAGTAACTAATATTGGGAATTTAATAAGTTTAGTTACTTTATGTTTATCATTATACTTTTAATGAAGGGAGAATTAGAGTCTTGTCCTACCCGTTCGGCTAACGACCCTCCACCAGTCAAGGAAGTGGTGAGTGAGACTGAACACCCATTAAACTGCCATTTTTTAGGCAGTAACTTTATACCCCCTTATAGACCGGCTTCGTGAATAAGGCCTACTAACAGTAAGACTGACTTTGTTCTTATACATATACATAAATATTATCTATTAATATTATAATAGTATAACGGTTGAATTTTAACTTTTAAAATTCTAAGGGTTTAACTTGGAATTAAAGTATTCATGGAGGGGAAACTTTACAAATTCCAAAACTTGAGGGCAAGTTTTGAACAATTCAAAAACTTTTGGATTCCATAACTTATGAGTTTAATATGGTTTTTATGGAAGACTTTTCAGGTTCCATAACTTGAGGACAAGTTATGGTAGACATTAAAACATTTTATGATGGCATTAAAATTAGAGACTCTTCCATTTTCATAACCTATGAGACTTAATGTGCTTTTTTAAATGAAAAACTCTTCATAACTTGAGGACAAGTTATGGAATTCATAAAAACCATTAAGATCAAATTACCAATTAACACAATAATCAAGTAATTTTTCTATGAACAAGATCAAACTCATAAGCAAAGATAATTCACATCAACAATTTTCAAGAACTTAGCTAACCATATAAACTAATACAAATCTTGAAACTTTGAAAATTATCTTGGTTTTGGATGAGGATAATCATTACCATAGCATCAAAATCAAAATTTATGAACAAAAACATTTTGTGACAATGATCCTAATCCAAAACAGGCCGAAAAAACTCAAAAAACTGCATTCTGGACTGCCAACTCGCCGGGCCCATTACTGGACTCGACGAGTCCAAGACAAAACACATGCAACTCGGTGAGTCACCTAGTGGACTCAGCGAGTTCACTGGGTAGAAGGCAGATTTTTCGATTTTTTTACTTTGAAAACTCATAAAACATCAAGTATAATCGAAAACAACCCATGGCTTTGATATCACTGTTGGGTTTTGTATACTACAACATCCTATGATGCACATACATACCTAGAAGCTTTGGATCTATGTTTACACTAATTATACATGCAAATGGTTTCCAAAGCTTTAAGCCTATTACTAGAATGCAATTGACATAAACAATATGAAATACTAGTTAGGGTGACATACCTTTTATGTAGCTTGAAACCTTGATGTATTTGATGTTGCTAGAAAGACTTTGGCCTTTAAGAACATAGCCCCAATAGTGTGGAAGCCTCAAATAGAATCACAACACATCATGGACAAAGGTGGAACTTGAGAGAGAATTCCATTCACCCAAAAACACCCATGAACTCAAAGAACATGCATGTAGGCGTTTTTTAGGCTAAGAGGTTATATTTGTTGGGTTTTAGTATAATACAACATCCTATGGTGCACATACAACCCTAAATACCTCGGATCTATGGTTTCACTAATTATACATGCAATGGTGTTTCCAAGGTATTAATCCTATAACTAGCATGCAATTGTCATATACCATACAAGACACTAGTTAGAGTAACATACCTTTATGAAGCTTGAAGTTTTGATGTATTTGGCCTTAAGAGCTTAGCCTCAGTAGTGTAGAAGTCTTAAATGAAGTCACAACAAATCAAGTACAAAGGTAGGACTTGAGAGAGAATCACCATA